TCACTGCCAGCCACAGCCAATGTCACGGCCAGTGCCATGTGCAGTCCACACCGTGGCCAGCCCTTCCTTTGTCCATACCTGTCCTTGGATACACTCTGCTTAGAGCCTCTGGAGTCTTTATTTACAATACCCTACATATCCAGCTCTGCTTGGCCAATCAACATCTTCTTCCTTGGATGTGCTAGACAAGGTGGGCTCAGAATTGGGGATTTGGTGGGGACTCAAATTTGTGTGAAATTGTGAAGCTGTCTCTGCACACAGAGCAGCCGTCTCCTCTGCAAGGACTCAGACGTGGAAAGTCTGACCCCGCAGTGGACCTCCCCAGATTCAGGCTCCCTGCCCTCGCCAGCCAGCCAGTCCCTCTGCCTAATGGCAGTTTCACAGCCCAAATCTCAGAGTTAATTTTAAACGTATATGGAGCAGATTGGATGAGCATTGTGGAAAATTTACCGAGCACTAGCGAGTGATTGTTTTATGTGGCACTTGAGGGCCAGGTGTCTATCAAGAGGGACTCCAAAGGCATTTCTTTAACTCCATAAATTAATTTAATGGGCTACATGGTTATGTGGTTAATATTTAATGGTTTTGGGGCCTCAACTCATTGAAGACTTTCATCTGACTAACAAGAGTAAGCTATTCTGTCGGGACTCGGACTAGCAATTTTGTAAGTGACTCCATTTACCCTGTTCGTGTGGGTGAAATACATGTTCTCAGTGCTTGTCCAGGGGATAAAATAAATATCCCAGGGAGGGAGGGGGAGAGGAGTATGAGAGAGTATTTGAGAAGGATGAACTCACCCTTTGACGTGTTAATGACACGTATACAAGTCCAACTAGAATTCTTTCTGCCCAAATAGCTCAGCTCATTCCTACTATTCTTCTGTCCAGGACACACTTGCCTCTGGGAATCAGTGGCTTTCTTTGAGGGAGGGATGAGGGATTGGGTACAGTCCCACAGGGGTCAGGAAGTCTGAACCCAGCAAGAGGTCAGCGCTGAAGGGCAGAGGATCTCCTGACCCTCCCCTCTGCACCCTCCAGACTCACTCATTTTTATCCCCGCTTCCCAGATTGGAAAACTGAGGCTATACATGGTGCTGGTTCTTAGTCCCAGATATTTTCTGTCCCACTGTGAGATTTTTCCACCATGGCCCATCATTGGCTCTCCCCTTGGGGAGAGTAACCTTGTTCTGTGGTCCTCGTTCTGAGGGTGAGCCTGGGCCAGGAGTGTTGCTGTTGGGGAAGACTGAGGCAGAGGGCAAGGCAGATTAGTTTATGACTCCTGAGTAGTCTGGTTCTCTGGGGGAACCCAGTTAGTAGGATCTCTCCGTTTCCCTGACACACCCAGAAAAAGGGGTTTCCAGCCTGGGATAAGGCCAGTCATATCCCTTTTCTCCTCGAAACCCCTCAGAGGAGCCCTATTGCCCCTGAGAACGTCCGAGTCGGGCCCTCTGTGAGCTGCTTCCAAGTGCTGCTCAGGCCTCAGTTCCTGCCTCTCTCTCCGTTCCCTGCAGTCCAGCATGACAGGCTTGAGGCCACTCCAACTAGCCAGGCCTCTCCTGCCACCCCCAGGCCTGTGCTAGTCCCCTTCCTGGGATGCATTCAGCTTCCACAGTGGCCCCTCTGAGGAGCTTTGCAATTCCGAGACAAACTGACCAGCCTATTCTGCTCCCCAGAGGACTTGGTTCATGTTCTGCTTTGCACATTCATCCTCCATAAGGGGGTAACTTCATGTGTCCATCTTCTCCCAGACTAGGAGCTCCTTGAGGGCCACTTCTGTTATCTTTGTGTCTTCACCAACAAG